TATAGGCAGAATGTTAGAATAAGTGAATTCATGAGATCACTGAATACAGATAAATATAAAAAAATTTTAAAAGTTGGAGCTATCAGTATGAATTCATGTTTAGCTTAATATAAATGCAGATGATTGCATATAGAAATATTTATAGATACATGTGTATACACTGGTTAATATACACACATATATTTCCTTGCTTTGTTAGCTGAGAGGACCTAGAAGCAACAACACACTAGCAGGAACAAGTACCCAGATATTGGTTTCTGATACCATTCTCTAGCGAAAGGAACCAAGGATCCTTGGAGAAATGGCTGATTATAGGGCTGGGTGTGGAAATATACAAGATGAGCCTGGAGCATCTTGTAGCACCAGAGATTAAGGAAATCCTACATGCTTCACCAAAAAAAAATAATAATAATAACAATGATAGAGGTATGTCAGTATGCCAAAGTGACACAGGAACCAGCTGAAAGAGCTCTCAATAGCCAAAGCTATAACAATTGGAGCAAAAAACTTCAAGTAGTATTGGATTATAACCCAAAGTATAAAATAAACATCTGGGAGTCCATACTGATATAAATGATTGAACAAATAAGTGAATGAGGAAGAAGAGGTAAATTCCTATGCAGAAGAATCCCAAATGATTGACATAGATACTACACCCTCACGGAACATAACTCCCCACTCTTTAAGAGTGGGCTAAGCACAGCAACTTCCAAAGAATATATAGTTTGGAAAGGGACAAGTGGAGAACAACTTTAAGAACCTTGTTAAATATTACCTCATCCAGGTGATCAAAGTCAACATCAACAATAATAAATCATGTTAATAATAGGTACTGTTGATCTGATGTGATGAGAATGGCACTTTGCTTCCATGGTCTTCCCTAAAAGGAAAACAAACAAACAAAGCAAACAAAAAAAAATACAGAGCCCCAGGCTAATGATAAAAAAAAAATCAGACAAATCCCTATTGAGGGAAATTCTACCAAATATCTGACTAGTATTTGTCAAAACTATCAAGGTCATCAAAACCAAGGAAAGTCTGAGAAACTGTCACAGCCAATAGAAGCCTAAGGAGTCATGATGGCTAAACCTAATTTGGTAGCTGTGATGGGATCCTGGAACAGAAAAGGGGTGGTAAATAAAAACTAAAAAGTCTGAATAAAGTATGGACTTTTTAAAATAATAATATATCAACCTTGGTTCATTAATTGTAACGAATGTACCATATTAATGTAAGATGTTAATAATATGGGAAACTGTTGAGGTAAATAGGTGAAGGAGATTAAGAGGTACAAAATTCCAGTTGCAAAAAAAATGAGTCACAGGAATGAAATGTGCAGTCATTAACTATATATATAGTGATTAACTATATAATATCTTTGTATGGTAACATCGTAACTACAGTTACCATGGTGATCATTTTGAAACGTATAGCAACATCAAATCACTATGTTGTATAATAGAAAATAATATAGTGCTGTAAGTCAATTAAATTCCAAAAACAAACAAACAAACTCATAGAAAAAGAGATCAGATTTGTGGTTATCAGTGGTGGGGTCCATGGAGGCAAGGGGTAATTGGATGAATGCAATCAAACGGAAGAAACTTCCAGTTATATGATAAAGGAGTACTAGGGATGTAATGTGCAACATGATACATATAATTAACATTGCTTTATGTTATATATGAAAGTTAAGAAAGTAAATCCTAAGAGATCTTACCACAAAAAATTCTATTTAATTTTGTATCTATATGAGATTATGAATGTTCACTAAACTTACTATGATAATCATTTAATAATGTATGTAAGTAAAATCATTATGCCATAAAACTTAAATTTATACAGTGCTATATGTCAATTATATCTCAATAAAGCTGGAAGATAAAATAGAGGAAATTAGGTTCTAGGTATATGGGAATTCTCTGTACTATGTTTGCAGTTTTCTATAAGACTACAACTATTTTTAAAAATAAAGGTTTTCAAAACAATAACAAAGTTACATTTTTCAGGTTCTAGTGCCCAGGATTTCTAAGTCTAATAAGACCAGTAGCCATCTGTCCACAACCTACTAACTGAAATTCCTCATACCAGAATGGGTCTTGTAGCCTTAACATTATTAATGCCATCCTCATTTTTCAACAGAACTAGGCATTCCAGGAAAGACCTATGGAAGACAAGTCATTTAGTAATCTCTCAACACGCATTTTCTAGTTTCTATTTGATTTTTCTACTCTTACAGATCTTATGCTCCACTGGTGAAGCACAACAGGCTTGTCTGAATTTGATAAAATATGTGCAGATAAATATGATAAGGATTAGAAGCTGGAAAATGTTTGGGTACAAACATATTCACCATAGTCTTTATGGGGTGGGTAGCACAAAGAGGAAGGGAAGGGTGTTGGGAAGATATAAACAAAAGATTTCACAAACTTGCAACAAGTAGGGATCTAATACATAGAATAATGAATATAGACAACATTCTTGTGCTATAGTTATGTAATGTGATAAATACTGCTGCAGCTAATCATATTACAATATATAATAACATCAAAGTAGCACACTGTACACCTTAAATTTACAATGTTTTGTGTCAAATATATCCAATAAAAAAACTAAAAAACAAAGACTTCAACTATATCTGTAATGGTTTATTTCTTAAACTTGGTGTTTGGTACATACATGCCTATTACATTATTCTTGAAGTCTTTTAAATACATGCTGAATTTTTTAAAGTAAATGAATTAAAAGGATGGGTTCAAATAAGAAAGGTTTTGGTGGTTAGGTTTTTCTTGAAGTCAGTCTAAGACATTTCCTCAACAGCACCATCTATAACATTTTATAAACTTACTATGTTAAAATATATTAGCTCTATTTATTTGAATAAATGTTATTTTCTAACAATAGAAGATTATTTCTTCAACTAAAAAAAAAAAAGGGAGAGAGAGAAATAACTCCAGATACAGTTTTAAGAAAAAGAGAGAGCAATCTGTGTTATATTCTTACGGGAGTGTAAATTGTTATGTATAAATTTGTTATAGCTCAAAAACATTATAGAATTATCTAATTTTTACTCATAGGACAGCAAGGGCATTATTTAAATGTACTCTCTCAATTACTTTGATTAAATAACCAATCCTAAATGGTTATTAAAAATGCTATTGACATTGCTGGCTCAATCTCGAATTTCTATTAAAACAATCAAGCTACATATGTGTGCAGACGTTGCCCATTGAGCAACTATAACTAAGAATAAAAGGGAGTATAATTACGATTAAGTATAGTCAAGAAGGAATACACTCAGGCAAAAAAAAATTAGTCAAGTTCTGTTTTTCTAAAGGTGTAATATCATGCCAAAGAAGTAAAGAGAATAGCTATGCAGTGATACCCCAAAAAAGAAGATATAATACACACAAGCACTTTAAGAATTTCCATCTGTTTTTAAATAGGTAGCTTTGAGAAAATCACACAGATTTATACTTTATAAAAGCTTTGTGTTTCTTTGTATTATTACTATCGTTATTCTTCAGCTATCCAGTTTGTTTATGGCTGATGAACTTGAATATTTTTCTGAACTTTTGTAATTAAATAAAAATTCACTGGCAAGACCAACTTACCAGAATTAAAAATATTTAAGAGAAGAAAGATGGTGAGTGATTGCACTGAGGGCAGAGTAGTCTCTAAAGTTAAAATTTTGAGAAGTTGGGGGGGCTATGAATTATAGTTAATTAGCTCTTGGTAGAAGCCAATAATCTCCATTACATACAACCAATATGCATTAGCTACGTTCATAGAATAAAATTTTAAATTCTATGCTCATAACTTAAGAGATTACCATTTCATGTTTCCTAAGAGGGAAAAACAAACTCCTAAATTTCTCTTTTTTAACGTAGACTTCAACTGCTACTATAATCCACTGGTGAAAATGGCCATCAATTAAAAAAAAATTTCTCTACGATTATATCCAAATATCCAGATGTAAAGTGAAATAGTCAGTGATGAAGATACATGCCCTTTATTTGAAAACTCTCATTATTATCTAGGGAAATCTTCAAGATGAATAATTCCTTAGTAAAGGGACCTTTTTATCTGAGTATCTTGACACTGTGAAGACCTAATGACATAGTTGCAAGGCTAGAAGAACCATAAAGAACATCTTTAGGGGAAAGGAGTGCTGATCTAGAATCAAGAGAACAATTTCTCTGCCTTGTACCTTCCTTGTTAGTTCAGGGGACAAACATATTTTTCCTCACAGAATGTAATTGTCCATTCAAACTTATACTGATTTCATTCAACACATTTCCACATGTTTCCAGTATCAAGGGCTCTAGTCAGAGACAAAGTTACATAAAAGGCAATCCCAAAACACACAGTACTAAATTATTTCTCCTAAAAACATAAGCAATAGTCAAATAATATTGTATATAATTGAACTCTAATATTCCCTTGAATACAATTCTTTACTAAAAAAGAAACTCATATGTAGTTAAGCAGAGGCTAATCTAAAGGATTTGCTAGATAATTTGCTTCCTAGGTCTAGAATTCACTTACAAGATTATGTTCTGACTTTCAAAAATGTATGAAATCTTTGAGTTCTGACAAATCTACACATTACGCTAAAATCCAGGCAATTAACACAAAAATCTATATATCACATTTTAAAAACATAAATTGTTAATGCAATCAACCACAGATTTGTCATGTTATACTCTAGTTATGATGACTGTAGAGAATTATTTGAACAGTTTATTAAATTGTTACCCCCTAAATTGCTAATATCTTAGATTACTGAGTATTAAAATAAATTTCTTAATAATGCATATATTGATATACAGAAAAAAATACAAGTTTTCTAATTAACAAGTAGTCATAGAATAGCTAAAAATTGTCTTTCATGTAGAATTCTGATTAAAAATTGCTTTTTGGGAAGAACCATGTTGTAATAAAAAAAAATCAGAGTTGTATTATTATTGAAAACAAGACTCTGAACTATCAGAACATACCACGGTGGTGCCACCAATACTCATAGGCTGGTTTCCAGAGTGTTCCATCACTACGTATTTCCCACATTTTCTGTCCATTCTTGAAGCACAAGGTTAACTCCAGAAATGTTTCTCAGCCTGTTCATTGCTCTTTATACCTGCAAACTTGAGAGATAATTGAGTTGATTAATATCCACTATGAGACATCACTGCTAGTGTGGATTAGACTAAATAATAATTATTCATTATGTGGGATCCACCTTAGAGGAAGAAGTGCGTGTTAAGAAATTACATGAGGATATAAGAAAACCAATCCCACCTCTGTGATGACACCCTCAATACTATGCCACCAGGCAGCTTCCTGGTAGAATGAAACTGCAATTATACAATTCTCCCTTCTCTCTCCTATCACATCATTTCACAGAACTCTTCCTTCTGACTTCAGGAACAGCTCAAGATAGAATTCTGAAATAAGTGAATGTTGCTGTTGCTTCTTTTCCAAACAGACAGGAACATCTTTCCGCTCTTACTGGCAACAACCTTTAGGTACACATGACCCCTCTGCTCATCAAGTCTTGACCTTCTTGGGTTCCTCCCCACCTTTAAAACTTTTCCAATCTAACTTGATTTATACTTCTGGAAAAAAATAATACAACTTGGCTTACATGTCTCCAAGCCCCAGACTGATACAGATGGTTAATCTGATAAACAAATCTCTGTGAATATATTCACCAAGATCCCCTTCTTTTCGTTTTTTGTGAGATCTATTTGGCATGGTTACCCAGAAGATTACTTCTGATTTTGCTTACAGTTTAGTAACAAGACACTTGGGCAGGTGGGGCTTTTCTAACTTCTGAAAATTATACTCAAAAGCATAGGACTTTTTTCTTATCTGTAGATCTATCTTTGGAGGGATCTAAAAGACAATTGACAAGAGTTAAGAAATCATTTTTTTTTTAAGAAATCATTTTTAACCTCAAATAAAAAGTTATCAATCAGCTCCCAACACACGTACCCAAGGAATCCCAAATAAAACTGGTATAGAAAATTATTTATGAAGAATGGTGCTTAAATAACCTAAAAGATTTTAAATATCTCTTCAATCTGTAATTAGCCCATAGTTAATTTCTTACAAATGAAGCAACAAAGGCAAAATACTTACACTTTTTTGTTGAAAATGTCTCATGTAGCACTTTTTAACTGGCCAGATATCTATCAGGTTTCAAAGATAAGAATTACCTGATAATAGAGCTGCTAGAGGGCTGGGAAATCTTGGAGTTAACTCAGCCTTGTCATTTTAAGATTGAGGGAATTTGTGTCCAAAGAGGGGAAGTGATAAAATCAGCTGGGTGGTAGAACCCAGTTTCCTTTCAGTCTAATAACGTCTCTATAATTAGCTTATTAATAGTGACTTTGTAGAAAGATGGACAGCCTAGTAGGAAGTCAAGCAAATGTCTTTTGAAAACAAAGTGAAACAAAGATATCAAAGACTTGGATTTGGAAAAGATCCTAGATATGATGCCTGAAGCCATCTGAGACTTACTGAACTTTCAGGAGTAAAGTCTGGGAGCCTGACTTTTTAGCCAAATGTCAAGTAATCTTTATTCAAACATGTTTGAGAAATAGTTTGCTAACCAATGATCCCAAGCATGCACATGGAGTGCCTTCATATCTTTAGGGAAGAAAATTGTGTGTGTAAAGAAACTACAATTTTCTCAAATTAAAAAAATGGGTAAGTTTTTAATTGCTTATTCCTTCAATAAGCACTACTGAGTCTCTGTTATACCCAAGCATTGTGCAAGAGGCTGAGTGCTCAATGGTGAATAAAAGAGTCAAGATTCCTGCTCGCTTGGAGTAGAGTAAAACGTATACTGAATTATGTCTTAAAATATTTTTTGATCATTTCTAAACTTCTCTTATAGATGCATTCTTTAGCTAAAAGTTTCCATTGGAATCCATGGAAGCAAAGTAAAATAGCCTTTAGATCTAGAGAATAAAAAAGGTGTGAAAAAACTAGGGAAGGGATTTAGTCTAGGAAAGACAACGCTTTACCCCTCCATAATGAAACTAAGGCAGTGTAACTATGGCTTCTGTGACAATATAAGTAGAGTGATCATGTAGTTTATCACTCTAAACCAAAATACTTCTGAGAGCAAAAGGAAGCAGTATTAATAATTTAATTTTACAGAGACAACACTATCCCATGTAAACCAGGACATGTGGTCACTTAGCAATAAAGAACCCATGTGAGTTAGGAGATTCACTAGTACTAACCATGACCACTGGATAAGTCAATGCATTTAAAAATTGATTCAATATCTCTAGTGAACAAATATTCGATTAGAACACATAGTTTACTTGAGCTTTAAAAAAATCTAGTATGGTGTTGCAGTACTAACACACACATATTTATATTCTGCCCTGGAGTTCCAGAACCACTGAGAAAGTAAAATTCCAGAGTGTAAATCATTAAGTCACTGACAAAATAACATCAAAGTCCCACCCTCATTGTCATTAGTTGATGAACTGTTTCAAGAGCCAAAGTAAATCGCTATGCACTTAAATCTTCAGCATAAATTTAGAACTTTATTTTCCCAAAGAATACTTTTTGTGCTTTTTTCACATCACAAACCAACAGCTAGAGAGGGGCACACCTGGATTACTACAACAGGCAAAGAAATACAGGCAACTCTCATTGGTGTGCTGAATATATCCTAGAAAAGCTCTTTGATATCTGCATAATTTTAAGTCAAAAAAATGTGGAAGTCTGTATTAACTGAGAGTGGTTGACGGTCTTTTAACTACTGGTAATTTTTTTTTTGGCCAAAGAATGCAGAGCCTGTTAAACTGTTATCTGTTATAAAATGAACCACACTGTAGTCTTAAAGATTACAACAAAATTAATTTATTGATCAAGTCACCCACTTCAAATACTTCCATGATTGAAATTTCACCGTGATCTGATATTAATCGAAACACCGATTTTTTTGGATGGCTCTGAACCAAGATGGCAGACTAGAAGGACGTGCTCTCACTCCCTCTTGTGAGAACACCAGAATCACAACTAGTTGCTGGACAATCATCCACAGGAAGACACTGTAACTCACCGAAAAAGATACCCAAAATCAAAAGACAAAGGAGAAGCCAAAGTGAGACGGTAGGAGGGGCACAAGCACAGTAGAATCAAATCCCATAACTGCTGGGTGAATGACTCACAGACTGGAGGACACTTATACCACAGAAGTCCACACACTGCAGTGAAGGCTCTGAGCCCCACGTCAGGCTTCCCAACCTGGGGGTCCCGTAACAGGAGGAGGAATTCCTAGAGAATCAGACTTTGAAGGCTAGAGGGATTTGATTGCAGGACTTTGACAGGACTGGTGGAAACAGAGACTCCACTCTTGGAGGGCACACATCAAGTAGTGTGCACATCGGGACCCAGGGGAAGGAGCAGTGACCCCAGGGGACCTACATGCTAGTGTTGGAGGGTCTCCTGCAGAGGCAGGAGGTGGCTGTGGCTTCCCAGACACTGGCAGCAGAAGTTCTGGGAAGCACTCCTTGGCGTGAGCCCTCCTAGAGTCCACCATTAGCCCCAACAAAGAGCCCAGGTAGTATCCAGTGTTGGGTTGACTCAGGCCAAACAACCAACAGGGAGGGAACCCAGCCCCACCAATCAGCAGTCAAGTGGATTAAAGTGTTACTGAGCTCTGCCCACCAGAGCAACAGTCAGCTCTACCCACCACCAGTCCCTCTCATCAGGAAACTTGCACAAGCCACTTAGATAGCCTCATCCACCAGAGGGCAGATATCAGAATCAAGAAGAACTACAATCCTGCAGCCTGTGGAACAAAAACCACATTCACAGAAAGATAGACAAGATGAAAAGACAGAGGGCTATGTACAAATTGAAGGAACAAGATAAAACCCCAGAAAAACAACTAAATGAAGTGGAGATAGGCAACCTTCCAGAAAAAGAATTCAGAATAATGATAGTGAAGATGACCCAGGACCTTGGAAAAACAATGGAGGCAAAGAGAGAAGATGAAACAAATGTTTAACAAAGATCTAGAAGAATTAAACAACAAACAAACAGAGATGAACAGTACAATAACTGAAACGAAAACTATACTAGAAGGAATCAACAGCAGAATAACTGAGGCAGAAGAACCGAAAAGTGACCTGGAAGACAGAATGGTGGAATTCACTACTGTGGAACAGAATAAAGAAAAAAAGAAAAGAAAAGAAATGAAGACAGCCTAAGAGACCTCTGGGATAACATTAAAAGCAACAACATTCGCGTTTATAGGGGTCCAAGAAGGAGAAGAGAGAGAGAAAGGACAAGAGAAAATATTTGATGAGATTATAATTGAAAACTTCCCTAACATGGGAAAGGAAATGGCCACCCACGTCCAGGAAGCACAGAGAGTCCCACACAGCATAAACCAAAGGAGAAACACACCGAGACACATAGTAATCAAATTGGAAAAAATTAAAGACAAAGAAAAATTATTGAAAGCAGCAAGGGAAAAATGACAAATAATATACAGGGGGACTCTGATAAGGTTAACAGCTGATTTCTCAGCAAAACACTACAAGCCAGAAGGGAGTGGCATGATACACTTAAAGTGATGAAAGGGAAGAACCTACAACCAAGATTACCCTACCAAGCAAAGATCACATTCAGATTCGATGGAGAAATCAAAAGCTTTACAGACAAGCAAAAGCTAAGAGAATTCAGCATCACCAAACCAGCTCTACAACAAATGCGAAAGGAACTACTCTAAGTGGGAAATAAAAAAGAAAAGGACCTACAAAAACAAACCCAAAACAATTAAGAAAATGGTCATAGGAACATACATATCGATAATTACCTTAAACGTGAAGGGATTAAATGCTCCAAACAAAAGACACAGGCTTGCTGAATGGATGCAAAAAACAAGACCCATATATATGCTGTCTACAAGAGACCCAATTCAGACCTAGGGACACTTACAGACTGAAAGTGAGGGGATGGAAAAAAGATATTCCCTGCAAATGGAAATCAAAAGAAACCTGGAGTAGCAATACTCATATCAGATAAAATAGACTTTAAAATAAAGAATGTTACAAGA